GGAGCATGTGCGAACTACATCTCAAGTCGAGGGGGAGCATGTGCAGGACAATCATGATGTCGAGGGGGAACATCTCAATTCGGATCCTTTAGTTGAGGAGGAGCTAAATGAATCAATTCCTAATGATCTAAATGATCAAACTAATGTGTTTCATGGTGTCGTTGACAATGTTTCGAACGCAGGTGAAGGTTCAGAAGCCGATGATGTATTCGAAGATGCACCTGTAGATTTTCACCCTGCATATCCACCAATGGATAAATGGACACATAGTCATCCAAAGGAACAGGTTCTTGATGATCCACATGCTGGAGTCATGAAACGAGCACAAATTCGAGCTAAAAATGAAGTATTTAATGTTCATCAGGAATACTATATGTTTAACGTGTTTATTTCAAAGCTTGAACCCAAAACAGTAAAGGTTGCATTAGAACACTCAGATTGGGTTGTTGCAATGCAATATGAACTGGCAGAATTTGAACGAAACAAAAATAAAACTAATAAAGAAGGAAATGTCATTCGAAATAAGGAAATATTTGTTGTTAAAATCTATTCACAATAAGAAGGAATAGATCATGAAGAAACCTTTTCCCCTGTCACAAGACTCGAGGCTGTTAGAATTTTTCTTGCTTATGCAGCGCATAAAGATTTTGATGTGTATCAAATAGACGTCAAGTGTGCATTCCTAAACGGTGTATTGGAGGAAACGGTCTATGTCGAACAACCACCTGGTTTCGTTAATGATAAGTATCCTGATTACTGTTATGTTTTAGATAAGGCAGTTTATGGTTTGAAACAAGCACCTCGTGCCTGGTACGCAACCTTAACCAATTTTATGAAAATTGCTAAATTTAAACAAGGATCAATTGATCCCACATTATTTCGAAAGAAAGTTGGGATTCACCTGATGCTTGTTCAAATTTATGTTGATGATATAAGTTTTGGTTCAACTGACCCTCTGTTATCTAAAGAATTTGAGGAGCTTATGAAAAGCAAGTTCGAAATAAGTATGATGGGAAAGATAAATAATTTACTGGGTTTACATATTCGTCAAAGCAGGGAAGGTATCTTTATTAATGAGGAAAAATACACACCCAACCTGCTTGAAAGATTCGGAATGACAAATAACACAAAATTGAAAGTATCGATGGCAGCTGGAACACGCTTTAATCCTTCGTTAGACAAGCCAGGCATGGACTTAACTACATATCGAAGCATGATAGGTTCATTTTTATACTTAACTACGAGTCGACCTGATATCGTGTTTGCTATGTGTAACTGTGTTAGATATCAATCGAACCCAAGAGAAACCCATCTCAATGATGTGAAGAACATATTTCACTATCTCAAAGGAACAGTTTTGTTGGGTCTTTGGTATCCTTCGAAGACAGGATTCTTTATACAAGCTTTCTCAAACGCAGACCTAGGTGGATGTCAGCTTGATCGCAAACTCACAATAGACGGATGTCAATTGTTGGATGGCAAATTAGTAATCTAGCAATTGAAGAAACAAACGTGTGTTTCGATTTCAACAGCAGAAGCAGAGTATGTAGCTGCTGCAGCTTGCACTTCTCAAGTTATTTGGATAGAAAGTCAACTACGCAATTATGTAATCAATATGAAGAATATTCTTTTGTATTGTGACTCACAAAGTTCCATTCGCATCTGCCATAATCAAGTCCAACATTCGAAAACCAAACACATTGCTCTTCGCTATCACTTCATCAAAGACCATGTAGAAGATAGGAACATTGAGGTTTATTTTGTGAAAACAACGGACTAAGTTGCAGATTTGTTTACAAAACCTTTAGATGAGATGTCATTTTTAAGGATTTTGAATGGTTTAGGGATGATCGAAGCAAGTTATGTTCCTGGTTCTTCTTGATCGAAAAGATGTCGATTTGGTTGGTATTTTACTGGATTGTTCAGAGGATACTCTTCATGATTTAGCGTTCACATACGTTCGCTTTTGCAATTCCTTTGAATCATTCTCACCTCAATTATCTTTGTGGTGGAGAAAGTTGTTTGATGCACAATATATTGGGGAGTTGCTACTTCTTACATCGAACGTCACTGGGTAACACCTTATAAGTTTGCTTTTGTTTGATTTATTTCAAATATCACAAATCCAAACAGATTTTCTTATTTTTGTCTTTAATTTTCAAAAACAAAAACCCAAAAAGATTTTCTTATTTTTGTCTCTAATTTTTAAAAACAAAAATCTAAAAAGATTTTCTTGTTTTTTTTTATTTCATATTTTGTTTAACCTTTTGCGGCTCATTGTAAAAACATTTTGTGGTGGCGAATGCTGAACGATCATATTCAAAAGGGGAACATGTATTATTTCGAACTAATGTCCTAGTTAAGAGTACCTAGAAGCATGTTGTTGTATGTTGACCTCAAGCCTCATAGACTTTCTGTGTTCGAAGCCTTATTGGATATCTCCTTACGAGTGTTCCTTCCCAATTAGGCTATATTCACATGAGTCGAAGAGGTACCTTTCTCTTCTCATATTGAGTAAAGATATTTCTACAAAGTCCATATATTTTACAGAGGTACAACAAGTTTCGTTAACAAATCTTTTTCACCAAAATTTATGTCATAATCACACACAACACTACATATCCTTGACATCTCTGGTAGAAACCAACCAGAATGTAGATATTGCAACAATCTGTGATTATGGTCCTGAATCATTCTTCCGTGATAATGGTGAAACCCAATAATGTCAAGTACTAAGGAATTGACGGTGAACATTCTTGTTCAAGATTATCACGAAACACTTGTTTCAGTACGTTTTTCGATATTAAAAATCATATTCCATTCGACATGCATGATCTTGATAAAATGTTCTAAAACCAACACATTTTTTCCCATCAAGGTCCAGCATATATATATATATATATATATATATATATATATATATATATATATATATGGAATATGATTTTAGTCTGAATATCTTTCTGATTTCTTGAAATTTCAAAACATATCCAACCATACTTTTTCTTGACTACACTCGTCATCCAAGTAGTTTTGTTCAATCAAATCACACTTATGTTAAGTTGTGGTATTGAAAAAAATTGAGCCTACCTTTCGAACATGATGAAAATTCGATTGTAATTCACGGGAAACCACGCAAGCAGTTTGTCATATCTATTGATGTCGAATGAAGAGATCTTTTCCCGGGATCCAACTGCTTTTGTATCAAATGCTATTTGATATCACTAATCGCACATGTTTTTTAATTAATTCTCACTCATTCTTTGGCACACATTTGTAGTGGAATCCTTGAGGTTTTGGGTACTACTAACTCGAAACCAAGATTTCACAAAGTCTGGCATATGATTTATTTTCCAATCCCAAAAGCGAATGAGCCTTACCTCCAATCGAAGGAATGTTGTTATCTAGATTTTGAAATCACACAATGTCTTTATAGCACGAACTATGTGGCGGTTCTTATCTGGTTAGGAACAAAGAAAGATCTGACGGACGTGACGTTTTAGGATCTCTTGAGATTTGAGGAAATGGTGATGATCACTTTTATGACGTGGCGATTTTTACAGTGACCGGTTAAATAACTAATGCAACATGTGGCGATATCTTATTAGTTATCGGTTCCAATTCAAATTCTTCGTCGAGTGTTAAAGGAAATTGGTGGTGTTATTTGCAGACTTTATGCTCTTTTATCAAATTTTCCTAAAATTTTCCAAAGTTCATCGTTTTCAAACAACCTTTGCAATCATAACAATGGCGGCTCCTAACACAAATGTTGATCCATCAAACAACACTAATGAAGAAGAAATTTCATAACCATTGTTGAAGATTCAAAGTTTGAATCTTCGTTTATTGCCAACTGTTGATCAATACCCTAAACAATTATTGATGCTGATGTTAGCCCTAAATCACTTTGTTCTATCAACTATGTTATCATCATCGTTTTCTGTTCTGATGACTTGGTTGTGTCTTGCTGGTTCAATGGCAGTATTCAACAAAACAACTAAGGTTGTTACCTTCCAATTGACGAACAACAAGTTGCAAAAGCTTACCAAGAAATAGTTTGCCCAGATCATGAAGCTAGCATTCTCAGGTACTTTTTATGAAGTCACGAATGAACATGTTCTTTATGTGTTCAATGAGATGGGTCATCCACCCGTTCTCATATGGATTAATCTTTTTTACAAATCGAGTCTTCCTTGTGTTTGGAATTTTCTATTTGGTATTATCTTGTGATGCTTGACTAGTCGCAGTTCAGGGTTAGATAAGGCGAAATTAGAAGTTTATGTGATGACTGATGGTATCTATTATGATTAGAATGTTAACTATGTTACTAAACTATGGGACGAATTCGACACGGCTAAATCAGAACAATGTGTCGAATGGTGTTTCTTTTACATGATACTGGAGTCTAATCCTCAAGGAGGTTTATGAAAAATAAGGGATTTTGATTCCTTCAGAGGATGAAAAAGCTGAGTTTTCAACATTGCAGGCTCTAAAATTGGTTGTTTATGATAATCCATTTTCCAAGTGTAGCTCGCATTCCAGATGCAATGTTGAGGTGAATTGATCCTGGAAGCCCAATTCTTGTTCAGTACTTGGCATCCATTAATGCTAATGATTATGTTGGGGTTCCTTTGCCAAAAGGGGCTGAGGGTTTGTCGAAAGTTAAAGCACCGAAGAAAAAGAAGCAGAATGTGAAACCACAACCTATTCAAGAACATATGGAGGAGGAAGTCTCTAAAGAAGTTATTTCTTTGAAGACTGGCATTCTCAACCGCACTTAGAAGCCAGCCAAGTGGCCTCATCATTCTTTTATCATGCCATCATTTCTAGAACTTGAAGTTGATACCACTGCACAACCCCAACATGATTCTTCACATACTCATTCTTCACAGAAGGGTATGAAGAATATTCGTAAACCTTAATTTAACCGACGAGGTGTGCTATTTTGAGACATTTCTGTTCATGTTTCACCTGCTTCAAAGAAACATCAAGCCCGTGAAATGGTCCAGAAGATTAAGAAGAATAAGAGACAACTTGAAGATCCACTTGACAAATTCAATGTAGAAACAGATAATGGAAGTGACAGCAAAAGATCTGATATTCGGATTGATGACTCTAGGCTTGGGTCACCTCGAAGAGATTCTCCTATCAAGTCGATTTTCGAGGAGACTGGAAATCCTGGGGCCAATGTAAACGTATATAATACGGATATAAACACCAATTTGAGTGATCCCACATCTACATCCATCCCTGCGAAGACTACAGACATACCACCCGAGGTTTCGCAAACTGAGTCCTATACGGAGGAGGTTCGAACTCCAGACATCAATATGAACGTATCTGATACAGACATACATGTAAAAATGGGTGAAGGGGTGTTGAACAAATAATATTTTGTCACTTTAACTCTTGAAAAATCTACTATTCCTACATCAATCATGCTTTCATCCACCATCGAAACCTCAATCATTGACACATCAACTTCATTACCACCATTATCCTCACCTATCCCAACTTCACTTCCAGTTTCCACCATATCACCTACTTACTCTTTCATAATTCATGAACCTGTTACTACTCTCTTTTCTTCTCAATCCACTGAAGCTGAGAGAATAGTTCAAGAAGATGAACCAAATGATGATGACATCATGTTTTCTTTTGGTGACTTGTAATTCGACCTAGAGGAGGATAACGTTCCTGATAACATGATTATGCCAGGTAAACAATTCAAGATCCTCAAAAACGAACTCAATTCTCTTTTATAGATCCAAGCAGATACTGGGGGTCGAAATTTCGTTTCTGGGGTCTAAATGGAATACTTGTTAAAGACTCAGGAGAATCATCTTCGAAGTCTGGTGGAAAGTATTGAGAAGCAACAAGTTGAAAGGCCGGAGGTTCATGCCAAATGTTTTGAGTACGATATTCAAAAGCCACGTGATGTTGCTAAGGAGCATCATGATCTTTTCGTTGAGAAATTGAAGACTATGAAAGAGTCTGTGGATCTCAAGATGGCTGAACTTAAATCGGAGATGGCCAAAGAGGTTGACAAGATAGAGAAAATTTATTTTGTCCTACATGGAAAAGTTGATGTTGCTACTGATCCCATTGTGAAGTTGCTTGATTATAATACAACTTATTCGACCAATCTTGATGTGAAATCAGATCAAGATTCTAAGGTGTTTGCAAAATTGGAGGAATTCTTTTCAAGTATTAAGGAGTCAGTTTCAAAGATTGATATCTCGACTCAGTCAACCGTGTCTTAGGAGTCAGTTTCTCAATTCAAGTTAGTTGAAAATTTCAATGACAAAGAAGAATACAAAACACTGGAGATCCGATTTCATGCAGTGTTAGGGAAAAATGAGGAAGAAGTGTGGTCATCTGTGATGATTGTAAAAGTGATGACTATTTCGCATGAGAACTTGTTTGAAGACATTCTAAATTTTTTTTGCTATGTGGTTGTTAGAACGAATAATGTGGTCTGTGATTTTTCGATTGCTGATTTGCCATTGATGAACTTAAATGACTTGGTCACTGTGACAATGATTTTAAGCAATGTGGATGTTCGGAAGCTGCTAGAGAACAAAAAGGATGATTTTCTCATTGTCTTTGCTCATATCAAGGCGTTCATTGATAACTATTATGATTTCCTCGCAATCACTGATATTGAGCTGGCTATGGATGCTAAAAAGACCTCGAAAGTTCCTCAATCTTTACTAAAGGGGAAGATTAACATTTAACAATATGAAGATGCGGAAGTTGTACATTAACATTTGGGAGTGGTATTTCGAGAGAAAAACAAGAATGGACGGATGACTAAGTTCTTGTTTGAATTAAGTGATTTGGAGAGGTATTCGAATTCTCAATATACAAATCTTTTCATTCAAATCAACAATTGCAAAAGAAATGAAGCGGAAGACAAGGCTGAGAATTGAAAGATGATTTTGTGGTACATGGAAGTTTGCAATGTATTTCTACAAACTATGAAGCTTATAGCGTGATTTCGAATTTTCTCACTAAGGGGGAGATTGTAGGGTTCGAAATGTATAGTGAGAAGTCGAAATAGAAGTATGTCTATTAGGGTGCAAAATCGTGGCTTTCGAAGTGTATGTATTTGCAAGGCATATCGAAGTCGAAGTGTAAATTTTAGTCCTTGCACATTTTATGCATCTGGAACACTCTATAAATAGAGTAGGTATAAGGGTAGAGAGGAACTTTTTGGACTGTTCGTCATTGTATTCTATTGTAAAACTCTTGTACTCTTACAGATGTTAATGAGCTAACTAGATTTTATTTACTTGACTTGTTCTTATTGCTTTTTGTGATTGATTTCGTATTCATAACTCGATTCTTACACACTTCACTAGGTTGCCGTCTACTAAGTTTATCGCACAAAGGGAGCTCATATAACACGTTTAAATCCCATAAGCCCTAATATTAGTTATCATAATATTATTAAGCCCAAAATCTAGAAGTCCAATTAATCTAACCCACTAGAAACCAATTATACATTAGATATCTTTTAACATAGATGAGGGTCAAAAATACATAAAACTCGAAGGTGTGCCTCTTCTAAATTCATGTCGCAACCTCTCAATAGGAACCGAACATCTTCCATCCTCCATAGCTAAATAAAGAAGATAAAGCTAAGAAACCTACATGTTTGAGACCATCATCATTCCCAAACTTGGAGATTTAATAGACACGATGAGACACACACACTTGCCGGAACAACATCCTTCTCAACAGATTGAGGTCTACGGAATCTGCCATTCTCACCCTCGATGGCCTCTTCTCTGTCTCTAGATCCCCTCTCTCAACTCTCAACCCCCTCTCTCTTATCTTGTTGTTGAGGTGAAGCCATAAGAACCTGAGTCGTCAGATACATTCTTCATATCTCCCATTGGAGGTCTAGACCCGTTTTCTCTCACTATCCCCTTTCCCTGTCACCACCGGAGATCATCCATGGGTCATCCATCCCCACCGTCGACTATATTCACCTTCATGTTCTCTCTCTCTCTCTCTATCTATTTATCTATCTCTATCTCTCTCTCTCTCTCTCTCTCTATCTCTCTATCTCTCTCTCTCTCTCTCTCACGCCACTAACTTATGTCGCCAAAAATCTGTCTCGGGAACACAACATTTCAGTGAAACAGATTTTGATCCCTCATCCCTTGTCTTCATTCTCTTTCACTGAGGGTATAATAAGGACTTCCCCACACCGTAGTGATTCATACGAGAGTATTTATATGTAAGAAATTGGCTGGGAATCGAATGCTTTTCGGAAGGTTGTGTCTTTCCAGGCCCTAGAGTGGGAAAATGACATACATGTTGTTCTCGTCGACTGCAGATGAACAAGACAAACTGATTTCTTGTTTTGAGGCAACTAGTCCCTCCGATTTCAAAAGCTTACAAGTCATACCCTAAAACGCCTCATTTAAATGAAAGTGGTTTATCATAATTAATTAACCCCTAAACATTATATTCCATGTTATTTTCATTATTATTATTATTAATTAATTAATTTTAATAATGTGCTTAATCAATCTTTTAATATAATAAGTCTCATTTAAATTAACCCAACTTGTCTATTTTCGATTATAAATGTCTTTTACTTATTAACTCCACTTATTTCACCTTACAAATTATATTTGAATGAAATCATTATATGAATTATTTAATAACCCTAATTTGAACTAGGTAGATGAAAAAAGGGGTGTTACAACTCTCCTCCACTTAAACTGGATTTCGCCCTCGAAATTTTTCTCGGTTAGAATTTCTATAAATTGTACTAACACCATTCATATTCTCTCTCCATCCACTTCATAAAATCAACGCATCCAAATCGAAAACTCAGGAGACCATTCAGAACCTAACTGATGCCAACAAACAACCCTATCACTCGAAAACATTTAACCGCAATAACTACCTCTCTTTTCCGTATGGAATGACCACCATTCAAACCTGGAAATACTCTTGAAGTTGTGAACGTAACCAACTCTATCAACATACTTCACAAAAACTGGGAATTTGTCAGCCTAAAACTTTAGAAACAAAACCTAACAACTGATGGTCATCCATTTTTCGTACCTACCTCTAGTCTCTGGCTAGGAATACCACTAAAGCATGCAGAACAACACTCAGAACATCCCGATCGTGAATCTCAACCAGTCCCAAAGCTAGAAATTATGCCCAAAAGACCTCAATTACACACTTGACTTTCTGACAAGTCATCACTATCTCACCACTCCCACGAGCATAACTGTGGAAAATCTAATTCATCGCATGGAATCCACAGTCCTATACGCTCAGGTGTATCAAATTTTGACAAATCATCCAAAAGTCCTACAACGAAATCCATCAGTGGTAACTTGACACGCTCGAAATCGTTCTCAAAATTAAACAAGGATCCACGAGGAAGAAGCTCAATGAGGAACCGTTTCTATACAAAAATTACTTTTCTTAACAAGTCCACTTCCTAGTAAAGCCTGACCCCAACATATAGTCTACTGAGCCACTGTTAGTATTTCCATACTGCTCGAACATCTGACTGTGCCAAACGACAAACGAACCAACACACAGGTCTCCACTACACAATTGTCGGGTCCAACTCATATAAGTGAAACACGATGGTTCACGATATGTTGTGACACCATCCAATCATTGGAATGAGAAACTCATGGTTCCACACCGTTCTTGCCATCATCCAACCACAAGCATGAAGACAGGCCTATAGGTACACCACCATCATCCCACTAACATGCATGAACCCAATCAATATCCCACTCAACACTTACCCAAAACAACATTAGCCATACAATTTTGTAACACACAACCCTTCCACAGTCCATGTTGAGACCGACGCATCCTCAAACGAAAACATGATCATACGTAACAAGAAAACAAGATACACAGTTGAAGTAAGTAGATACATGCTCGTCAATAACCAGAAACAAGATACACAAACATGCCGGCAATGAGGTATTTCTAAAATTAACTCTTAAGTATGAAGGTTTATGATTTTTATCCCTTGAGTATGAGAAAGCTTGCAAATGGCCTATAGTGGCATTTTCATAAAATCAGGCCAAGGCTACATATGTTGGGCGTACGTTGTGTACGTTGGGCATACATGTATGGTTCTTGGTACGATGGGGGCACATCGTATACTCCAGGCGTACATGAAGGATCCTCCAACCATAATTTTTAAGGTTTGGTCCATATATAATCATCATTAACTCCTCATTTCCATTCCCTCTTCAGCCTCCACTTGCCATTCTATCCATCCAGAACCCTAATCCACCTTGAGAGTGTTCTTGTGCTTTTGTGGGTACTTTTGGTGATTAAGAAGGAAGGAGAAGAACAGAGGGCCACCTTGGAAGAGGTAAGCACCTTAGATCCAAAATCTCATCACCATTTGACATCATTTTAAGGTAAAAACGTCTAAACTTTATGATGATTTGTTTAAGATCTTGTTAGCCTTGAACTTGTGAACATTTTGGTCCCATTAGCTTGGCATTTTAAGTATGGGTTATTCTAAGTCATTTGAGCCATCCTTTTAGACATTTCAGAGTGTTTTTGTACATAAAAATATGATCTTGAAGGTTGTGTGTAACCCATGCATGTGTTAGATGGTCTTATTGGATTAAGAACATAATGTTTTAGACATTAAGAACTTTATAGCCATGAAAAGTAATAAAGTTGGAAACTTTATGACTTAGGACATCATTTTGGGCTTGGATCTCAGTTTTGGATGGAATGACTTAATAGAATAAGCTCTTAGTGAAGTTTTAGGACTGTGCAACGTACATTGGGCGTACCTGGAGGTACGTTGCGCGTATGCGGTCAACGCCCCACTTTTGGTCAACATCATAATATGTTGTTCGTACTCTCTTGGTACGCAGGGCGTACTCCGCTAGGAAGGAATATTGACTTTTGGCCCTTGACCCTTGACTTTGACTTTTACAAGGGTTGACCAAGTTTGCATTAAAGGTATTTTTGCTATTTTGAGTTATAGTTAAGCCACGGTTTCTATCTGTTGAATAGGTGACCTGTAGAGCCGATATTCAGAGCAGTGTATTGTTTAGCTATTTGTTAGACTGTGAGGTGAGTTTCTTCTCCCTATATCGTGGGTCGAAGGTACCAATGCCAGCCCACTAGATTATTTATCCTGATTAGGATAGTATTATGCTAGTTTGTGACTGATTAGTAGTTATGCATGCTTATCTGTATTTGTTGGTTTTGTGTTTATGTTTATTTCTTACATATG